CCCCTCTCCCTCCCTCCCTCCCTCCCTCTCTCTCTCTCTCTCTCTCTCTCTCTCTCTCTCATCACCCTCCCTGCCTACAGGATTGTTTTATCATTGGAGGAAGAAATGCTGTGTACTCCACCTTGAGCTCTTGGAGGAAAGGCAGGATATAAAACTAATACATTTGTCTAAATAAAAACAAGAAAAAACAATTTATAGTGTAAATGAAAAACAATTAAGAATATTTTCTACAATCGTGCAAGAGCTAGGTGTTTGGAGTGAATATTTTATTTATCTATTTGGTTTACATACTTTTCCAATTGTTACGAACTCTGGGTGCCACGTATTCCTATTCAGCAAAGGATGAAAAAGATGAAAAAGCTGTAGCAACCATTAAAATTCAGCATATATTTTTAAAAATGAGCAGGGTCTCAAATACTCAACGTCCAAATTGGATTCAGATTTTTCTGGGATCAACATTTGCCTGCCGTCTTATTTATTTCTGTTAGTCTTGAATGGATGTCTTCCTAAGCATAGCAGATTATTATCTTTAGAGATCTCATTGGATATCACACTTCAAAACTTGGTTTAAGATCTTGAACTCTGCTTTCTTAAAATTAAAACTGAGATTTTCAGGTGTCTACATTTGGTGATATGCTTATTCATATGCAGCATTTATTGCATTTCAGTAGATACTGCAATTAAACAGTTTCATGAAATAAATACAAATAATAATCTGTGTTAGATTGTGGTACAGGACTCTGTAAACCGCTTAGAGAAAAGCACTGTAAAGCAATATATACCATATTTTTCAGTGTATAAGATGCACTCCCTCCCCCTCCAAAAGTGGATGGAAATGTCTGTGTGTCTTATACAGCGAATGTTGCTGAAGCCCCACCCACCTGTCAGCTCCCAACCTTCAGCCTCTGACTCCCAGCAGATGGTCTCCTTGCAGCATACAGCCTGACCAGCTTCAGAACAGCCTGATTTAGCACAAGCAGCTGATTGACTGTTAGATCTGCCTCCTGGAATACCATCTATCAGCTGTTCCAGGCTGCAGGGATCATTGCCACCTCTGCACACTTGTGGCATCTGTGCATCCTGTTTTCGGCCTTGCATGCCCCATTTTTGGCCGATTTTGGGTGGTGGGGATCGTTGCTGCCATCGCCGATCCTTGCCACCTGGAATGGGCTGAAAATGGGACATGCGGAGGCTGAAAATGTGGGACGTGGAGGTGGCCATGGACTGCGATGGTAGCGATCCCCGCAGTCTGGAACAGCTGATAGTCAGTATTCTGGGAGGCAGATCCAACCGCCAATCAGCTGCTCATCCTAAATCAGGCTATGTGTTTGATGCAAGAAGGCAAATTGCTGGAAGGCAGAGGCAGATTTTTTTTCTTGTTTTCCTCCCCAAAATCTAGGTGCGTCTTATAGTCCGAAAAATACAGTAAATCTAAATGCTGTTGCTATAATTCCATTGGCTGTGCATCTGATGTTACAAAATAAGAAATTTTTTCCTGGGTATTTGCCATTCTTAATGAAACAAAAGAGAGCATTGGAAAGAACTAAAACAGCAAAACACTTGTCCTACTTCATAACACTACCTAGCTCTTTAAATCCTAGCTGTAGCATTTTTGTACTCCAAACAGTAATCTTAATTTATATGTTTGTTTGTTTTTTAATTTTTCCAGACTTTAAAGATAATCGATGAAGTTGGAGACCTCTTGCAATTGAAATATTCTCGTCATCGAGTGGTACCTCTTCTTGACCGGCCTTTTGATGAGACAACATATGAAGAGACAGATGATTAAACTCTTTTGATGTCTTCTTTGAATTGAGTATGCTCCTTAGCATTTTATATGGCTCAAAGACCACAGTTCTTGAATGCAACACTTAATGACTGCTCGCCATATACAGAATGACTTTTTACTCACCAAACTGAAGTGGCCACAAGAGCTGTTAAATTATGTGTGGTAAATGGCAAAATAAATCTGGATTTTATTCCCATTGCTTCAAGATCCAGCTATAGGTGGGTGCCTGCCCTGCATTTTTAAAATGCTGCCTTATTTATGTTACAGTAAGATCCCTTTGGCTTCTGTTGGCACATCTGCATTACTCATCATTCTGCCATAGAGGCTTTGTTGGTGTTAGTAAATACTGCAGGATTTCTTTTACTTTCTCTTTACAAATGTCTGACCTTCCTCAAAATATATGATTGGTCAAATGAATCAGTTAAGGTTTTTGAGGAGATTGTTGACAGCTAATTAACATACATTGAATAGAAAGAATAAACCTAAGTATTTCCCTTCCCCATTATTTCATGCTGTTGGGAGAGTGCCTTTTTATTAGTAAAATGATGATTGACAAACAAGTTTAAGGAATATTATGTTCATCAATGCACAAAAGAAGTCTTCCAGATCATGGGCCACTTTGGGTTTTCAGGCTGAGTATTAAGCTTTCTGCATTTAAGTAAGTAGCAAATAATGCTTGAGAGCAGGAGAGATTTTTATGTGAGCATTCTCTTTCTTGAATGGAATTACTCATGCATACTCTACTTGTTCATATTTACTTCATGGAGAGTATTACAAAATTATATTCTTGTGAATTCAGTTGATGCGTTCCATCAAGGAGTTTGTATTTTCCCCAATATGGTAAATATTTGATTATCACATCCTACAGAGTGAAGCCATAATAGTTACCATATAAATTTAACATAGCAAATTATCTTGGGCAAACTTCATCATAGAATAAGCATTGAAGTTTGAGTTCTGACAGATTATATTAGAATTTTCTGTATGAAGCATTTTCTATATAAAGTTCTGAATTTCAAATGCTGATATGATAATTTTAGATTGACTGTTTAGATCTCTGATTATGAAGATGATAAGAATCTGAACTAAAAATTAAGAGCCAATTTTGTCTCTATGAGCTTCACATGATATTATCATTAATCTTTTGGGGACCACTAAAAGAATTATGATTTGATGGAAAAATAATTTATGTATATAATTATTTGTGGCAGCTGACAAAATGATGTTTTCTCAATAAAAGTGTGTACAAAGCAGTCGGCGTATGTCAAAAAGTGACATCATTACTAAAATCTCAAAGTACATAAGTGCATTGAAAAATACAAATCTCTGTGTTGTCCATTTGCCAAATGCACCTTTTGGGGCCAGTATTTCACTGAACTGTATATTAAAACTGTCTGCATTTTATGGGTAACTGTAGAGAAGTTGGAAAATAAACTGAGCAAAAAAGAAAACCAACAATGTATGGAGCCAGAGGCTTATTAGCTAATGGTGGCTCATATTTTGGTAGTCATTAAGCAGGCTTGCACTATCTTACATTGCACTGTGCTCCTACTCTTCTCTGTTGCTAATAATGTATATATAGCCTAGATTTTTTAAATAACTATTAAAACATTTTAAACAAACTTTTTAATTAACTTTTTAATTTCTTCCAGAAATACAACTTTTTTACACTGTGAGGGAGTCATACAAATTAGGGTGCCAGGTGGGAAGGGAGGAAAAAGAGAAGCAGATTTTACATTGACTTTTAAGAAAATAACAATGCATGTTAAGCTAAGAAATTGCTTGACAAAATCTATTTGTGTTCTGCTTAATAAAGAGTTCACAAAAAGGTGTTTGAACATTTTATTTCTTTAAAAAAAGTTGGTGAAAATTCTTTCCAGAATAAAAAGCCATAATAGTGACTCACATTTTTACATGCCAGGCAATCATAGAATTAGAATGCTCATAGATGTTAAGCTGAAATTAAGTGAAACCTATGACATTGAACACTTTTTCTAACTTTATTGTAAGATTATAGTAACAGAATTTTGGAAGTCTGGAAGTAGACCATTTCACAAAGCAGCAAGAGTTAAGGCATTGAACTTTTAAAGTTTGGAAAGTAGTTCAGACAGATACCTCAAGTCACTAGTCTAGAATTTACAGCAAAATGAAACTTGAATGATTCTTTTATTATAGCCAATTTCAATAAAGATAGCTGTGAAGTTGATTTCATGTTCTGGTGTGCCTAGTAGAACTGTCATCTAGGAACAGCCCATCTTTTGACTCTGGATGCAACATGCTTCCTTAGGTGAAACAGGCTGTCATTGACTCTTGACTTCCACTTGAACAGCAAATACAGCCTTTGAGAAATTACATTTTAATGGTTGCCAGTTGCAGCCATTCCTGGGTCAAAAATGTTGGTCATGATCATTCATGGCTATGTCACTCTGCAGGTGGACTATTACAATTTTTTTCTATATGGGGCTGCTCTGGAAGATTCATGTGGTTCAGCGTACATTGGCCAAGGAAACATTAAGATTTCAATTCAATTTTCAAATTTTCTTGCAGTACAAGCAGAGCACAAAGAAGTACTTCAGTAGTGGAATGAACATGAAATGGAATGAGAGTTAGAAAAGGAGAATGAAAGTGAAACTACTTCTAAGCCTTTCATTGCTTCCCCTCCCATCTATATAAAATTATTGAAATGAAAGTCAACAGTTTTACATACTTGTGTCCCACAATCTTGCTGAGAACAATTCCATACAACATCCATTTCTTTAGTCAAAGTTTGGAGGTATCTATTTGGGACTGAGGTGCTCTATGTGAGACAGCATTCCTGAGAGTAGGAATCTGACTTGAGTAATGATTAATGAAGTAGCTATAAGAATGTACTTATAGATTATAGAAATAGTGCTTACCGTAGTTAACTATTTAGAAGAATCTAAAAGATGTGTTTTGTGTTTCTATGCCTAGCGAAAAAGGCAGAAGGAAGTGACCTCAAATTATCAATTCACACATGAAAAAGCTTTACATTTTACACATCAACTTACAATCAGGTGCCAAAGAGTGGGGCCATAGGGTTTGGAGTTCCAACAGTATTGCCGAGTAACAGCTATCCCAATATAATGATTTTTTAAGGGAAAGGTTAAGAGTCAGATCTTGAAATTTAAATATGGATTTGATACATGTGATCTGCCTGAAATCAACTTGATATATCTGTCAGCACTAAATGCACTATCACAATAATGGATCTAATTGCTTTGGATGCCACCAAGACATATGTGAACATGAGAATTGTTTCTTTACCTTTTGCTTGGTTTTAACAGGTTATCCACTTTTGTGCTGTGTTGTACATTTGGCTCTTAAAAGGATCAGTTACATGATCATTATGTCTCATTGTAAGGATAGTAGAGGCAACTGAGATGTGACCAATCAGACTATTATGTGCAATTGTGATTTCATTTAGAAATTTTTTATCATTTATAACATTTCAAATCTATGCTTTTGCACCCTGGCAGCATCAAATAATATTGTATTTTTATTTGTGATAAGTGGCTTCATGTGGTAACTTGTGATTATATAGCGATTTAGCAGAGGTCATCTAAAAACACAAATCAAGACTATCGTTTGGAAAACTCAGATCCACGTTTTGGACCAAGGTGGACCCCAAAGCCGTTGTAAATCGAATCTCTTGTAGGAGTAAAATGTCTCCAAAGCTGTTGCCAGGTGAGCAGAGCACACCGGATTTTTTCCTCCTCTCCATTTTCTTTATTGGGAAGAGGGGATGTCGCGCGGGTGCATGTATTCCTTCTCGTGGCACGCGCTCACGGCCGGGCCTGCGAGCAAAGATCCTCCTGCGGGCAAACGTCACCGAAGGCTCCGGTGGAGGGAAGCCAAACCACTGGAGGGAGAGCAAGAGCTGCAGACGAAGCTCGGCTTCTGGGGGAACGCGCGAGGAGCGCTCCGCGAAATCCGAAGAGCACCCCGAAAGTCCCCGACTGAGGAAGCAGCGGGGGCGCCAGGGAAGGAAAGGCGAGACAAGAACTAGCGAAAGGACCGCCCGGGGGGGGGGGGGGGGAGGGCTAAGCCTGCTCCGAGGAAGGCGCCGGGGTTGGGAAAGAACCGAGGCGCCGGCGCTGGGCAGGCAAACAAGGCTGACTTGGGGAGGGGGAGCGAAAGTGCCTCGAGCCACAGGAGCTGCAGCCTTGGAGCCGCCGGCGAGGGAAGCGAAGCGGCCGGAGAGTTTGCAGGACAAAGAGCGGCCAAGAGTCTTCGAGGGGAGCTCGAGCCACAAGAAGGGCGGCAGGGCGCACCCTACAAAATGCGAAGGAAATGGGACGCCTCCGGCCAAGGAGCGGCCGGGAACTCGCTGCGGCAGGCACAGCAGCCGAGGTAATCAGAGGCCGGGAGATGCGGCGGCTGCGGGCAACGCGGCGTCTGGCCGGATTCCAGAGGTGTGGATCGGCGGTGGAGACACGTGGGTTTCTTCCGAAGACGGTCCGGGCTTCGGGATGAGGAGGAAACGGCAGCGGCGTTTCTGAGGCGATCCGAGGAGCGGCCGTCCGGAGGGACTCCCCTTTTCCCCACCTCCCGAGCAGAAGCAGCATTTCCTCCGCCTCGGCTCGGGGGAAACTGGGCGACTTCGGGAGCATCTGAGCGCCTCTTCTTGAGATTAGTTGGGCGTCACGGCACAGCCACGTGCGGGGGGACAGCCGGAGCGGCGGCGGAAGAAATCGGACTTTCTCGCCGCGGGACACACCGGAGGGAAGCCGCTTCCTCCTCCTCCTCTTCTTCCTGCACCTTTTCCAGCCTCGGCTCCACTCGCGCCAGCGCGTTTCCGCAGCACCGGCGCCTATCGGGGCGCCAGCTCAAAGCTGGGCAATAAAACCCGGTGCTCAGAGAAAAGGGCGCGGAGCTGAGAGACGGAGGAAACGCGAGCCGGGGTGAAGGCCGCGGGGGGTGGTGGGGAGGAGGGGGCGAAGACTTTCCCTCGCCCAATTTTGTCTCCGTCTCCCTCTTTCATCTGATACCCTTGACTCCCACCGCTTGCAAAGAGGAGCGGAAAGGCGGCGAGAAGACCGGGCTGCCTCGTTCCCCTTCTTCGGAAAGGTTTAAAGACCGGCGAGGGTGGACTAAGCGCTTGACGCGGCCGGTTTTCCTGCTCGCCTGCCTCGCGGTGTGCGGGTGGGTGGGAGGGAAGCCTTTGCAAGGAGGGGCGCTGCGCTGGAGTAGGAGGAAGAGATGTCTAAAGCCCCAGGCAGAGCTGTGCTTATTCTGAGCCTCCTGTTTCTGACAACTTCTCTTGCTGCTGTCCAAGGGCTGCCCTTGAAGAAACAGCGCAGTCCCCATCCGAAAGAAACGGACTATACCTTGGTGGAGGTGAGTGACAGCCCATTTTCAGGCAAGCCTAACTGACAGGCTTCCTGGCCATCCCGCAGCCTCGCCTTACCTGAGATGCTTTCTGAAAGTTCAGAAGAACATATATAACTTTAGCAAAAGGTGAATCCAAGACTCTTAGGTCCAGCTGCTGTTAACTGCTGGACCAAGTTCCCTGCAGCGTCATCTCTGCCCTGAAGGTTCTTTTTTAAGGTTTATTTTCTCTTCGGTTTTGTGGCCAGAGATGAAAGCAAGCTATTCTTTTTGCAGGAGCCCCTCTGTCTCCTGCTGCTTATTCCTGACCTGCAGGCGTCATTCTCTCCCTTTATGACCCCTGTCCTTGTCTTGGCAGGAGATAATTGACCTGTCACAGACAGTGGGTAAATGGTGGCTCCAGGTGGGGACTGGGGGGGGGGGAGTGAGCAGCAGAAGCAGCTGCTGCTGCACCTTCCCTACAGACCCGGAAGGAGGCTGCTATATTTGCTTGCTTGCTTGCATGTGTGGAATGCATGCCCACCACTGGCCGCAGCAGGGGGTGGTCTCTG